GATGATGTGTTCTTTAATTATACAGTCAAACCAATAAGACTTTCCATCATTAGAACGTAAAACATATTTAGGGTTTGGTAATTTATGAAATTGACAGAATTCAGATAATACAACACTATAGTTTGATATACTTGTTCATAAAGTATTAGGTATTTTTAACATTTGATTTCATTGTCAACGTTTACAAATTTAACAAAAAAATATACCAAAATGAAAATGATCAAAAAAAATGACAAATCTGTTTGTACTATTAAATTACATAATCAAGATAATCAATACTTAATTAGATTATAATTTTTTAATTATGATTATGTGATAAATTAAAAAAAGGTAAAATAATATTAATTTGTGTAACTATTTGAGCATTGCAATGCTAATACAATTTTTTTTTTAAAAAAAAATTTATTATAAAATAAAAAAAAATTAAAAAAAATTAAAATTAAAAAATAAAATAATAATAAAAATAATAAAAATAAAAATAAAAATTAAAATAAAATAAAAAATAAAATTAAATTAATTAAAAAATTAATTAAAAAAAATAAAAAAATAAAAAATAAAAATTAAAAATTAAAAAATTAAAATAAAAATAAAAATAAAATTATTAAAAAAAAAACAAAAAAACAAAAAAAAAATAAAAAATTAATGCCTCCTCAGCGAAAAACTTCTCCTTCGTGAAGAATATGACCTCCTTTTGTATCTTCAGGAATGGGATCTATGATCCCTTGAATGATGGTAAAAATGTGATTTACAATCCCGTGAATGATAATAGCGAGAATGAGATCTACAATTCTGAGAACGACCATGAGAATGGGATCTACAATTTCAGCAAAAACGAGATCTATGTCAGTACTGGTACTAGCGGCGATCTACATTCTGTTTTCTATACTGACAATGATTTATGTCTAAAAATAATAAAAAATAATAAATAAATTAAAAAATTGAAGTTTTAAAAAATAAAAAATATATTTCTTATTACTATTATTCATTAAATAATTACCAGTTCAAAGCCAAAATTCGTCACTAACTCTGCATAAAATATCAGATCATGCAGAGTCAGGTTTGTTATTGGTTGGTCGTGAAGTTTTTCTCAGCTTTCAACCTTTTGAGATTTTTGTACCCATATTTTAATGAGTACCATTTTCTTCGACATTGAGAGGGAGAAGCAATAAACCCTCTATTAATAAACAATCGATTGGATATGATTCTCCATATCCTTTCATGATGATTATTTTAAACGAACTCAAAATCATTATGATTATCGCGTCGAAGTCGAATTAATTCTCTTGCAACGTTGACTGTCCATTTAAATAGAGCTACAGTGGGAGCAGCCAAAGCCATAATGATAGAAATAAAAAAATAAAAAAAAATGAATTAGAAATGGTGATCGAAAAAATAGGTGGAATAAAAAATCGAAAGATAAAAAAAAAGAAAGAGAGAGAGAGAGAAAGAAAAAAAAACGAATTTAAAAAAAAAATGAATTAAAAGAATTGAAATAACAGATAAAACGATGAGAAAAATAATCGAAAAATAATAGATAAAGGAGACAAGAGAAGATTTATATTCGTGATTTTATTATGATATATTGTGAAAAATGATAGATTCATGAACGTAAATTACATATATTTATATCTTTTATTTTTATTAGAGAACTTTTAATAATATAATAAAATTATTATAAAAAACT